ACATTAACAACAATAACTTTGTCTCAAGGGGGAGGCTCTACCTTTCAGAGCTATTGAGAACTTGCCCCAGAGTAGATTGATATAGGGCAGTTGATATGCACAACGTCAATTTGAAGTACTACATCAAAATAACACAGATTAACCTTTTCACCCTTTTGAGTCACTAGCATTTAATGTCTGCTCACAAATCACCCCTAAATCACACAATAGGGTCACAAGAACCGAGAGATGATCACGAATTAAAGAAGCTTTAGACTGTTAAGCAAATTCACCATGTCAGCACCACTTATAGAGAATATAGATACTAGTGTTTAGGAGTAAAGGTTTAGCACTTACCAGCTTCTAACTAGCTCAACTGAAGGCATCTTAAGCAAATTCTTAGGAAGAAGATCAATCTCACGAATAATGTGTGCAAGTCGCACAGGTAATTCATGTCGACCAAACTGGAAAGATTCTATGGGTTTTGCGGTTTTGCCTGTAAATGGAAATAAAACCAAAGATTTATTTCCCCCTTGCAGTTTGACAAAATTTTTAATTTTTATTTTCAGCAACCAAGAGAGGGAAACTTTTCAGATTTCTTAAAATCAAAAGCACCCATGATGGTGATTAAAGCATAGTGCATGACCCCCAGGAAGACAAAGCATTAAATCCCACTTTTTTTGAAGACAGTTTAATGTGCAAGACTACACAGTTTTATTGGTAACTATAGAAAAAAAAAATGTATCCTAACTACATTTAATCTAACTGACTTGCAGTTTAAAAATATTCTTAAGCTATTTCTTTTGCATAAAGGACCTCTTGGTTAGCACCTTTTTCAAAAAGGTTTCTCTCTCATAGAGTAATCATGACATTGCAAAATTAACATGTGCAATTTGATATTGTTCCATTATTTACACCTTAGTCTCAGATAAATTAACATGCCATTTATCTCTGTGAGTTTGTGTGCCAAATAATAAGGGTTTAAAACATAAAATGGGAAAAACATTGCACTGATGCACAGAGGAGCTCCACTAATCATCAATAATCATCAAAAGCGTAAGCATTGTTGGATGAGTAAAATCTTGTAGTTTCCTGATAATTGTTTCAACAAAACAATTGTATAACTACAAAAAAAAAAAATATTCACAGTATGGAAATTGGGTCTCGATTATTAAAATCTTCGAGTAACTTGTAGATCAGAGAATTTTTTGACAAGAACTAGTTTTACTGGAATACATCATAAATAAAGCACATAGTTTATACTTAAATTTTAATAATGTTTACAGTGTATGAAAGCCAAAACTTTTTGTTTTATGGGTAACATTTGTGAGGCAAACTTACTTTTTCAATAACATGGTAAGGAACTGACAATAAAACATTTTGAGGGAATTCACAAAATTATGGCGGGGCAACTGAGTAAACATTCAAGGTATTGAAACCATGTCAGAAACCAGGTTAAAATGGGAGACCTTTAACGACAGGAGTTATATTGTTGACTGAATTTCACATAAAAACAGATGATGAATCATGATATTCAACCTCCGGACCATCATATGACGTAAAAGTAATCGAAAATCGGATGCGTTTCAAACATAAACACGGAAAAAAGGGGCATTTTGGGGGTGCCGTCCGCTACGTCAGCAAAGTAAATGACCTTTAAAGTGAAACACGATTTCAGATAAACAGACCCCCCCCCCCCGTAACTTGATTTGATGATCAATTCAACGAAAAAAAACCTGAAGCTTTCAAAGCGGAGAATGTATAAATTTCGATCTCTTTAATCTAGAAAGCATGATAAAGGATTGTTTTTTTACGCGCGAATAAGCGCGCGAAAATATCCATCAACAAAGGTGGGGAAGGGTTAATTAAAAGAAAACGTGTTTGCGAAAAAATCTGGCCGAAGTTGCATACAGGCAAAGGTTACCGTAGAGCAGATTTAAAAGCAATTGCGCTGCTAGAGCGAACCAAACAAATGGGAAAAAATGACTCTTACAAAGTAACGTAATTGATGTAGTTTTTCTGACTGATTGTTTATCTGTGAAAAGGTGTGGAAGAGATCGTAGTATTGAAAATGCGTTTTCATCTCCAAACTGATCCATTCACTTAATACCGTTAATTGTTATGAAAAGACGACCTTTACTCCTTAATAAAGAATGGAAAATCTACTGTACTCACCGAAAGTCGTGAATTGCTCAATCGACAAAGAAGATTGTTGGTATCGACTGAAGCGTTGAATGAGCTTAGCGACATCTTCGCATAAAACTCTCGTGATCCGCATGATGAAATGTCCTATTATCCTCTGGTAGATAAACTATTTTCCCTCTCCTTTTCGATGCTCATACTTCCTCCCACGGTACCTCAATAGGAATACAAGTGATTCTCAAAACAATTTAGCCATATCAACCTTTGCTCACTAACCTACAACAAGCGGGCAACAAGTAAGTATATGGAGATTATGTGGATGCGGGGAATGTGTCACATGAGCTTTTTAAACCAATCAGAGTGCAGATATTGTCCATGACAAGCGTCATGCACGCTCGCCAGTTTTTGAACAGGGGAGGGGTGATGGGTATATTTTTGTTGTTCTTCATATTTGACACAATGAAATACTCTATATAGCACAATACAGAACGATACAATTTCTTTCTCAAATATATTGAAATCTTAACAGATAAAATTCTGCCTTACAATTTGCAAGAAACCGACGAGCAAAAACGTACAGAGAAGTATACGACTCTAACGACTGACTACCACCCGGTCAGGAGACTGTCACGATCAGTCAAGACACCGGTCTGGTATATCACGTTTTGCTGGAATTTCACTCGAATAACGCCAATGGCTCTCTTTATTTGAGAGTTTGCCACAGGCTGTATCCCTTTCTCAGTTATCGCATCCACACCTTGATAATAATAATAATAATAATATACTAATGATTACATCTTTAGCCAAGGTGAACCCGTCAGCAATATTGGTGATATCAGTGGGTGCCCTAGTAACCTGACTTTCTCAAAATCGAGTATTTTTATGATAACGTTTGCAATTTCTGCTCTTGGTGTGGGTGAAGCAAGTCTTGCATCATCCTTCAAAGGTGACGACAAACCTTTCGCCGGTGTGACATAAACTGTTTTGGCCCCAGTCCTTTTGCGATTTATTTTCTTCTATGTACTTAGAGAAAGTTAGTTAAAACAAATGCCTATAATCGTATCAGCCTGCTCACTTATAAAAGTGAAAATGATATCATTTGAAATTTTATGGCTTTTACTACAGATCAAAATAAAATGAGCAGACTGTGTACAATGGCCGAAAATACCCCTACGTGTCCAAAACACACTCTTCAATATGTATACTTCTAAACAAAACGAAACGAACCAAAGAATCGAAGCGAAGAGAAAAATTGAAGCAGTTGCTAAAATAAAAATACAAATTATAAGTTACTACAATTATATGTAAACAAATTGAAAAACGTAAAAACAAAATAAAAGATAATAAAGACACTCACAAACGTTGTACGAGATTCTGGGACGACTTGCTGAGTTACTGGTTAAGGACGGTATAGAGCGAATTAAAGCGACTGAGAAAAATGATCCATCACAGTTCAACGATAAACCCGAATAAATAAAATTTACGGTAATGAACTTATACGAATGTTACAATCAAAGGGAATTTATGCGTTAAAAAAAATGCACGTGAAAATAAAAAAATCTTGATGAACGCGCGACGGAAAGAAAAAAGACGAATTTATAATGAATGACGTCAATAAATAATTTTTGTCGGCAACACTTTGTATTTCCCCTGCTGCCGTCAATGTTCCATTAAGCTGGCGATCCTTCTAAGTCAATCGACTCATGTTGAAAGAAGGTTTTAATGTGGCTATGAGTCATCTTCAAAAATTTAGTTCACTTCAAGAGCTCTCCTCTTTGGTTTCTGATTTAGCAGTTAGTTGCCAGGGGCCTCTCCCGTGGGAGGCGAGACTTTAGCCCGTCCTTACACTGTGATCTTCATGATATCTCTAGCCCACAAGTGGCACATCAAAACTTTATTCAGTAAAACACTATCATTTATAGAGTTTTACTGAAAAAATGAACAAAAGTACGACGTGGAATCTCTTTGTTTTATATCATAAAAAGACAAAAGAAAATGTCGATGGTGAAGTCACTGTATGCGTCATCGATATCCGCTCCATCCTCGGAGACCCCGGGGCTGTGAGTCGATTTCAAGTCAGGGCGGAAGAGCCCCTGGGGACATTGTCCTACAAGACTAGTTCCAAACGGTCACAGTCGTTCTGGTATCTGATTGATGCCAGAAAATCTTTGTGTTTTTCTGCCCAATCAGAGTGAAGTATGGTTTAAAGTCCTCTCGTGTGTTTTAACACGGAGATGTACAAGAAGTTCAGTTGCTCGCCTTGTTTGTTTACGCCGTGCGACGAAGCTTTGCTCGAGGTGAAAAGTTTCAGTCTCAGCACACAATGTAAGAGAAATCGATCAGATTGTACGCAAAAATCTTACAATAAATTATACTGAATACTTTTGCAGGTATCACAAGAGAACGTATTTAAAAGTTTACGAGGTCCGTATAAAACATAATGGTTGCATGCGTTAATATGTCGCTTTAAACGTTAGACGAGATGTAAGCTTAAATCGGTCTAGATTTCTCGTATAATTTGCTGTGACTGAAACTTTGCCAATCCCGTGAAGTTATTTCGTCGCATGGGCCACGCAGGTACGTCGAGCAACTGGCGCTTACGCTTACGTTGCTTTCTGTGAACGCCAAAATCAAATCTCCTTCGACTAGTTGTTTAGGGAAGGTTCAGGGTTTTTTTTTTACGATGAGTGGGAATAATCCGAGTGAAAATGTTTTTCCTTTTTTCGCGAGCGTCTAAAAACTGCCAGGACACCAAAAACCCAGAATTGTACAATCAGTAAATTTATGCAGGTATTGCGGACCTATTTTCCTTCGAACTATTTCGGATTAGTTCGGAAAGCATTCGCTGTCACTCGTAAGTAGACGATGACGTAGTAAGAACCTAAGTTTCATTAGGGTATTAGTCGTAGACAGCTGAAGGAGGTCTACTTTGATATTTGCGTAACATGTAGTTGTTTTCTTTTTTTCCAAATGGCTGTACTAGTTAACACCTTCGCAAAACATGCAACAGACGTGACCTCGTGTAGCTTTTCACCTAACAGTAAAGTTTTAGCTTCAAGTTCTGGGGACAAATCGATTCGATTGTGGAATATTGAAAATGGAAGCGAGTTGTCGGTGTCACCATTGCTTGGGCATACATACAGTGTAAACTCTTGCAGTTTCTCGCCGTTTGGAACTATACTTGCAACAGCCTCGACGGACTGTAGTGTTTTCCTCTGGGATGTTGATTCTGGTTCTATGATTACGGTTCTGCAAGGACATAAAAACGTTGTTCGCGTATGTCGGTTTTCACCAAACTCTCGATTCCTCCTTACCGGTTCTGCGGATGAAACGTTTTGTATTTGGGATGTATCTTCTAAAAAGCTCGTCAAATGCGTGGATGGATTGGAAAGTAGTGTGTTGACTTGTTGTTTTACGCCAGATAGCTTACACATAGTGACTGGAACGAGTATGGGAGATTTGTGTATCTGGGATGCTCAGAGTGGAAAAATGATGAAGTTCTATGCGGAAGGACACGATTTAGGAGTAGCTGACTGTTGCTTCTCGCCAACTTTTGGATCAGCTAGTAAGTTACGCTTACAGTTCTTTGCAGTTTGTGTTTTTCGTAATAAGATTTACTGGGGGCCTTTTGAAACAAATATTATCGATCTAATCATTTTGAGTTGAAGGTTGAGTGACTGTTTTCGAGGGAGTTTTGAGTACAAAAGCTTCATCATTAGCAATTGGTGTGGATCAAATAGTCAATTCTGTGTTGTTATTTATAAACTGCATAATTCCTAGTAATGAACTTGTGTTAAAAAGATACTGCTATCTTTGTTCCTTCAGTTTGCATCCCTGCCTAAATTTCTCCTATTTCAGTTTTCTAGTGGGTTAAGAATGGCCGCTATGACTACCTAAACAAGTCGCTTTACAATACTTCTTGTACAAAATTATCCTCACCCAGCCCTGCTATCGATTATCCATTATTTCCTTTGTTAAGTTATTTAATTAGATGATAGATAATAATGTGAAGATTTTATTAGTGTTGCAGCTGCACATATTTCATTTGAATAAGTCACTGAATTAGTGAAAAATATTACGATTTTTCATACAAATCAGTACTTCCCTATATTTCTGTCAGAATGGAAGGAGATCCATCAGCAAACTTAGGGGTTGCCCTCAATGTACTTGAAAAATGATGATTCTTATTTTCTTGTATACACGTAGATCATAAGAGTATGTCATCAATGATTAATTAATTCATACTTGAGCATAGTTAAGCATAACTTTTTTTTTTTGGAATGCATGTATGGAAGAGGACTGGAGCCATGGACAAACTGTTGAGATAGTTGGTTATGGTACATTCTTCCAAACTGTCTCTCATATCCATAATCAAATGTTTGGGTAATTGATGATGGTTTGTTAAAATCACACAATGAACCTGCTCAGACATGTACAATAGCCTGTACCTTGTGATTATCAACATATATTGTGGTCCTAGCTTTTCCTTCTTGTTCTAAGTCCTATTGTTGTTGTATTGTGAAGAAAGGTTTTCTTTATTTTTGATACTCTGTCACCATCTCCCACCTCTCATGACCATTTTTCAGTTTTTATTTTTTTATTTTTCTCTATCATTTCTCAACTACCAGTATTATTTTTCTTTTTACTCATTTGTTGTATCCAAGTTTTTATGCAAACTTAAGCATATCTCAGTGGCTGCTGGGATTTCGTTTTTGTGAATCCCATATGGTAACCAGCAATGTGATGTATAAATTTTGCAGAAAGGCAATTGTGATTTATGAATTTACAAATTGGTATCAGGGGTGATTTGCCATCTGAAATATATATGACCAGTGAGTTTTTTATTTCATTTCATGAAAACCCCATGATTTCTCAGAAACCTTATGCTCAAGAAGAAAAAATTGAAGTTTCCTTTAGTAAGATGTTGTAATGGGCGAAATGTTTTTGAAAGTATACAGGACTGATTCATTTTTCTAAAATTTTTATGGCCGAAACAGGACCCCCTTTTGTTACTTTCTGCATAGGGCATCTTTGTTGAAATCTCTAGTAAATAACTTGTATTCCATCATCTCTTTGAATAAATCAACACCCCAGGCTCAATTTTGTTTTAAATTAATCATTTTAGCATGTAAGATTACATGATGTTCCAACTATCTTGATGAATTTAAGAAGACATCCAAACTGATGATGTTCCAACTATCTTGATGAATTTAAGCAGTCATCCAAATTGCTTGATTGTCTGTGTTAATTTGTGATATGTTTTGATAGGGTGGCTAAAAACATGCATGAATCTTATAACTTTCATGAACCACTGTCATACCCTACAGGTAGCAATACCCTCCCCTCCCTTGGTGGGGAGGGTACTGCTGCATGTAGGCTACCATCGTTTAAAACTGACTCCAGTTTTAAATACAGAAATGCAAGATTTTATTTATTTATTTAATTATTTATTTATTTATTTATTTATTTATTTATTTATTTATTTATTTATGTTGAATGAGCAGCACTTCTAACCTACACTGTATAACTTTGGCCCTTGTAAAGTACAGCTCTACATGAAAATGTTCTTGAAATATTCATCAAAATGATTCACAGTAAATTAACTCATCTACTCATAACAATGACTCAAACCTAATTTCTCTTTCAATTTCATCCCTGAATCACATGTTAAGAACTTCTTGATTGTTAAACAAATTCTGTCTTTCAGCACCTTAGGAAATCTGTAGGGAACAGTAGGGAGAATAATTATGCATACTGATGTTGGGGTGTACAGAACACTAAAGGGTTAATGAGTACATCAATTTTGTAATTAATATTTTTCATACTTGTTTGATTTTGTAGTTGAATAACA